CAATAGGCTTTCAAGCCTGAAGGGACTTGAAAGCCTAATAATAAACATAGCAATTACAAAAGGGTTTCGACCCATAGGGCTCGAAACCCTAATAAACATAGCAATTACAAAAGGGTTTCGACCCATAGGGCTCGAAACCCTAATAAAATCAAGATTATATATTTAAATAATTTATAGCGTGTTTTGCTATCATGGTAACATGACTATGAATGTAAATAATGAAATTAAATTGTAACACACCTCACTACACGTGGCCAGCGTCAATGAGAAGATGACTAACAAGCATCGTAATACAACAGATGACATTCTGAAAATCAAAATAAAATTGAATCAGAGTTATTTTTGGATATGGAATGTAGAATATTCAACATGGTAGTTTGATTAAAAAATGAATAATACCCCTGTATAGTGAGTTAATTAGTACGTGATATAATTAATGTTCAGCTTTCTAAATTCTAGAAATAGGGCGCGGGAATGGAAACAGAATAATGCTAAAGTATTTTACTGACTAAAATCAGATGTTCTTAAAACGATATGTATTCGTGTCTACAATTTTGTAAAGCTGAAATCAAGATCAAAACACACTTTTTCATAAAGGAAAATATGAGTCAGTATATACAATATGTCTGCATAATTAGTACATCAAGACTTATTTGACGGAATGAAATAACAGTGAAATACAGGAACTTACGCCAGAAAGATTATGAAATTGATGTGTCAGATTGTTGGACAACTGTGCACAATCAAATCGTTCATAAGTGTACGCATATTTTATTTGGTTTACAGCAATGCGTTACAAAGTTTAACGTATATCATGATAAAAGCATACATACCTTGAATATGTGAATTCACACACTGGTCAAGCTTCCCTTGCTCAGTTGCACGGTGAAAATATTATGATAATATATCTTGCCCAGGGACAGTTTATAGATGTACACCAACTACCATAAAAGCTCCCTTGATGTAGTCCGGAAGATGATGGACATCCGTGTACCATGTGTGTATTGTGTTATCGATATGAATTGTATAATCACAACAGACTGTCACAATACGGGCTATTATATGAAACACGATCTGGTCAGTTACCTGGGACGAACATTTAAAGGG